CCCGTACTGTTGCTTGTTACTTCTGAATTCTGTCCTTTTTGGCAGAAAGAGGCTCTGCTTCTTTCCGGGAGAAGGGAGCCCAGTTGGCTCCTTCCCCGGAGAGTGGAACTGTGGCAAGGTTGAAATTCAGCTGAAAACTCCGTTTTTTGGCATTGCGAAAGTAGGTTGATTTTTTTTCTGCAAAACCTGCGGCGTTGGGGGTAGTCAGGGCCACCGGTGCCGTTAGCGCCGTGGCGCAGAGAGGGGAGGTTCGCCGGGCGTTTGCGCGCTCCCCGCGCGCAGCCTGTTACGGCGCGCGCCAAACGGGAGACGCGTTTCACCTCGGCGGGTGCCCGGAGCTCAGGCTGTCATCGCTCCGCGGCCGCGGGCCTGTGCCCTGCAGAAACACCCCCCCCCCGAGAGGCGATGTTGGGGAAGATGCGTGAGAGGAGGAGCAGGGCAAATACCAGGAGCCATCCTGCAGGACTGGGAATCTAGCCTTGGAAATGAGCAGATTGGTAACAGGATACTCGGGCTCATACTCTTGTAATGCTCCCAGGTTTGACTGACTGCCTGGAAACAAAAGGGGTCACGGGAATTGCTCTTTCAGCTTCAAAGGCTACACAGAGAAAGGTCTTTTAAGTCACACTGAGAAACCTTTTCAGAGCCTGGGGATGGAGCCATTCTGTAATACATTCTGTTCCAAGGCACTCTCATGTGCATAAACGCTTACATAAACGTTGTATATATAAACATTTAACTAGTTGTATTGCTTTTTAGGTTTTTGTAAGTAAAACATAACTGAGAACTAATCCTAGAACCTCAGACTTTGTATATACAAAGTAGGAATGCTTACAAAGAAAAGTTTAAGTATCCACTGTCACTTCATCCATCTGTTGCAATAAAATGTATTCAATACTTCAAACTCCAGATTTAGACAGAAACCCCACAATATATTCTGTTGCTACCATACTTTTTAGCAAAGAATCTTGCAATTCAGAGTTCGCTCTGACTTGTATTATTTTACCAGTAAAATAACAATAAAATAATACTTAATTTTTATTTTCAAGGCACAGTGTTTCCTCATGTCAAAAGTTAGGCTACATTTTAGCTCTTGGTACCTGAACATAAGGTAAAGATTATCTTGAAAACTTTTTGATTTTTTTTTTCTCTTTTTTGCTTAAGGATTTTATAACAGATAGTAAAAACTAATAACAAAGGCAAAAAAAAGAGTAGTGCAAGACTTACACAGTACTTGTCTGTGAGATATTCCGTAGCCATTATAATCTGATGCTGTTTTCATTGGGGATTTTTTTGGCTTTTTTCGCTAGAGCAAGAGCATTCAAAGAGGACATAATAAAATCTGGTAATGCTAACTTAAAAAAAAAAAAAAGTCTGCTTCTAGTTCCTCCAGGTTTCATGTAGAAAATGAAATAGTCCATAATCAGATTTAGGTCTGGATCGTATATATCAGTCCTATCTTGGGTTATAAGCACACAGTATTTTCTGTCGGAGTCTTATCCGTTCTTTGCATAGATAGCCCATAGCTGTGCAGGGAAACAAAGTCATTTGCCCATTCACTGAAGTCTTGCTTACCCTAAGTTGTCTTCCATATTTGACCCAGGATTGCGAAAATACGGCCTCCAGATACAAAACTAATTTGTGGAATGTCATTTGCTGAGTATATGAGGCATTTGAAGATTATCTTTACATTCTAATACCTTCAATCTGACTTGTTCATAGAATTTTACCTGGGAAGAGGGAAAGGCCGGTAACAGTAATGCCTGAAATGCAGTCTGACTAGGGAGGAGAATGAAAGGTTGCTGGGCAGAGGTTGTATGTAGACAATGCATAATACTGGTAAATGTCACTGGGAAGGGATTTCTTGTAAGCTATTGATTTTTTTGTTAACTGATGACATTGTCTCATCAGTGCAGTTTATGACGTATCTGAGTGCGTTAAACTAAACTAGTCCATTTCAATTTGGTGAAGATTTTTCCTGTTTAAGACACTCCCAGCTTCCTCTTTTTTCCATGTCCCTTCCTTGAATCTTCTTCCCCAACTACCTCTTGCCAAACAGGAGCGAACTGAGCAAAAACACCAGAGTTAATGTTTAGGAGTTACCTGTTGTGTAACACCAAGCCTGAGGTATGTACTTCACTGCAGCAGATGAACAGGTTAGGAAGTTCAGATGCTTTTTACATGATGTTTTAAAGCCTAGAAAGAAGTCTGTCTGAGAAGAAGGTACAGCATTTCTTAGCCTCTTCCCCACCCTCCTTTCTCACTTAGTACAACAAGCGGAGTAAATTTAGGCCTTGATCTTAATAACCACATTCAGTTGACACCCACACAGATGACACCTGTCCTTATAAAAGGACAGGTCAGTTATCAACAGGTGCAGTAATTTAGCTTCTAGCTTTTAAAAATGTAAAACATTTAAGAAGTAAATGTATGGGAGAACTACTGTCCTAATGACTAAACACAGTAGCTGTCCTACTTTCATTTCTCTGTCAGAATTCATGTGAATTCATTCATGTGTTCCCTGTTCCTGCAGGGCAGTGAATTTAAACTACAACAGATATAGCTGAAAATTAGATAAATACTACAGAACTTATTTTCTTAAAATGTTCCAGTAAGAGTCATGGTAATTCACTAAGATCAGTGATCAGGCAGGGTGTATGGGACCATGACACTTTCTCAAGCATCCTTCCTATAAATAGTTTCCTGTGCTGGTTTCATTCGCCTCCCAGATATGCTCAGAATGACATGCTGTTTGATTGGAGCTAGTTACAGTCAGTGTTTGCTGCAAATAAAGTGAACAATTTACACGGACAGAAGCGATATTTAAAGTTGAATAGTATGGGTCTGCAACTATTGCACTAGCTTCTCCTTGTATTTTGAAGATTCTTGTTATCACAACACAGCTGGTAGGTTTCAATATGAGTTTACGTTTTGAAATATGAGTGGGCTGCTGCCATGAAAGACTGGCTGAGTCAACTTTAAAACCAAACCACAGACCTCTTAGGCAAGAAGGTAAGAGTTTGGGTAGTTCTCCATCATCAACACTGACTTTATTCTGATGTCGTCTTATATTTATTTTGATTTTAGGATCTGAAAATGCTTGTGAAAAGACTTCATTTATGTTTCTGCGCCAAGAGTTGCCTGTGAGATTGGCAAACATAATGAAGGAAATAAGCCTGCTTCCAGACAACCTCCTAAGAACACCTTCAGTTCAGCTGGTGCAGAGCTGGTAAGAACAGCATAATTTCATACCTTTAAGAGTGACCTTCTGCATATACAGAAGTTAGAGGAATAACTCATTCTCTTCTATAGAAAGTACATTTCATGTACTCATTACATGAACATCACTTATTTAGACCGAGTTAATATCCCAACTGTGACAGAAATCAGAAACTAAATTTACAGACTTGGAAAAAAACCCTGAGGAGCAGTTAGAGAACCCACAATGGAATTAAAAATCATAAAGTATTGCAGATAGTCATGTATGAGAACTCAGTAAAACCAAAAATCCACCAGAACATTGTTTCACAGGGGGCTTACCTAAAATGAAGAAGCTAGTTGAAGAAAGTGATAGAAGGAGCCTAATGCACAAAATGCTTGCAGAACATAGTAGAAACTGTTTAAAAGACAGGTTATTGCAGATTGAGAGTAAAGGTGTAGAAAACACGAAGAAAGAGCAATAGGAAGCTCCCAAAGCCAAAATATTGAAAACAACAGAAGGAATACGAGGGTATTAAAATAAGAGACATCCTTTGCAAAGTAGAATTTGCTTTCAAGTAAGGAACTTGGACATAAGCATAAACATTTGTAAGATGAAAGCAAAACAAAGAGATTGCTTGGCAACTGCTAAAGGCACATGTCTATCTGGAAAGGCCTTTAAAGTTAAGAGAACAGAAAATCAATGAGTAAGTGGGATTGATTAGATGACTGAATATAAAAAGAGCTGCCAATAAAGATGAAGGTTCTTGGGGAAACAGGAATGCTTAAATTCTCATACTAAATGACATTGATCAAATGGGAAATGAATTCTGTTTGGACAAATGCGATGTAAAGCACAGAGAGGAACCTCCTTTCCATGTATGCTTGCTTATTTACAATGGAAACAGAAATTTTAATGTTACGGGGTTTATTTTTCTGAGTATGTCAAGAACCATAGAACGGTTAGGGTTGGAAGGGACCTCAAAGATCAACTAGTTCCAGCCCCCCTGCCATGGGCAGGGACACCCTCCACTACACCAGGTTACTCAAAGCCTCATCCAACCTGGCGTTGAACACTTCCAGGGATGGGGCATCTACAGCATCTCTGGGCAAACTGTTCCAGTGCCTCACCACCCTCTGAGTGAAAAATTTTTTCCTTAGATCTAATGTAAATCTGCCCTCTTTCAGTTTAAAGCCATTGCCCCTTGTCCTATCACTACATGCCAAGAAGGCAAATAGTGTTAGGAACTAAGGGGAGGAATATAATTGTACCACTGTGTTAGCCCATTATTCCTCTGAATTGCATGCATTTTTAGTCCCTCTATCCTGAACAGAAAAGACCAAGAGGGATAATCAGAGAGTTGGAACAATTTCTACGTGAGGAGAAACCAAATAGAATTCTTCAGCTTGGAAAATACACATCTAAGGAAAGAGATGGCAGAAATACTTAAATCATGAACAAGCTGGGAAGATTTTCTAATAACAGGAACTAGCTGGGGCTGCAAATAAGTGATCACCTACTGGGTTTAAAACACAAGGAAGATCTTTTATGCATTCTAATTAAATTGTTGAATTCATTGCTCTGGAAGTTTTGGAAGAAAGCATCATGAATAGATTCAAAAGGATCTAACAAAATTCACAAGGGATAGATGAGTGGAATATATCAAATACAATGATTTGGAAACAAGTAGCCTTGGAAGACCATAAATTGCTAACCAAAGGAATCTGGGGAGATATATGAGAACTACGTCTTTGTCATGTTTTTTTTCATTAAAGGTATGTGCAAAGTCTTCAAGAGATCCTTGACTTTAAGGACAAAAGTTCAGAAGATTCAGGGGCTATTCACAGGTAAGGATTTGCTGTCACGTATATTAATATTATGTTAACATTATGTAGAAAGACTGGCAAGAAAACTAGTAGCTTAAGAAAACTTTCAGCTGTCTCTAATTCTTCTTATGTAAGAATTTCAGTAACATCATCCCCTGTCCCTAAAAGGAAGGTACATTAAAACATGAAACAAAAAACTTTTATGCTGTTCATTCTGGTCCAGGCTTTTTTTGTTACACTGAAGAAGCTCTGAATATGTTAAAATGGACCAAATGTTTACCAGTTCCTTACTGGTAATGTTGGAGCTGATGTATGGCACTTCTCACCTGTAGAGTCGGTTTGGTCACTGTTGGCTAACCCTAACTGCCACTTGACAGGCATCGGACGATTTGCATGAAAATGGTTGTCAGAGTTTTCTCTTTTTCTTGACAGTAATCAAGATAATAAATAAATAATAATTTTATAAGTAATCAATAATGGTGATTACTGATGGTTTCAATGCTAGTTGTTAGAAATACACTATAAAGACTGACCTGTCGTCTTACTGCTGTAGGCAGACCTGTGGTATTTCTGTACATAACCGTCTTCATTTTTGCAGGCAGATACTCTGTTTGCCAGAGTTTTAAATTCACTTGAAAGTGAAATACTAACAAATGTATTAATTTTAGTTTTACAGATACTGTGATAAAAATCCGGAATCGACACAATGACGTAATTCCTACGATGGCTCAAGGAGTAATAGAGTACAAGGAAAGCTTTGGCATTGATCCAGTGACCTCACAGAATGTGCAGTATTTTTTAGACCGTTTCTACATGAGTCGCATTTCAATTAGAATGCTCCTTAATCAACACTGTGAGTGCCATTGTTGAAAGGAGGGAAAACGATACCTGTACTATGTCAGTATATTTTCCTTTCACTTTTAAGTGCTTAGTATGTACTCAAATGCCTCTTAGGAGTATACTATTTGCCTTGTTATTTAAAAACTCATTCTTAATACAGTTCTTAAAATATTTATTAATAGTAGGCTTTCAAGTATGGTGCAGATTGGAATTATAGATTGCCTACAAATTTCTATTTAGCAAAACTGAAGACACAAACTAAAATTATCAAATTATATTGGGTATTAAATAATATTTTTTTTTTGGCAGCTTTACTGTTTGGTGGGAAAATTAATCCAGCTCATCCTAAACACATTGGAAGCATTGATCCTAACTGCAATGTTGTCGAAGTTATTAGAGGTAAATTCAGCAGATAAGAATCAGAATCCTGAAAACTTACATGAATGTCTATACTGAGAGCCAATACACATCTTGATATTCATACACTGTTTAGTTCTTTCCTACATGGAGCAGAAGTTTAATTCAAAGTGTAATACAGTTTTGTTGCTTTCTCTATAAACTGTTTTTTGTGAGAAAATACAGAATCTCCCTGACAGTGCACAGTGTTTTCAATTTTTCGTTTTCTCTTTAGCAAACTATAAAGAAGAAAAAAAAAAGTGGAGAGGAAAGTATAACTTCCTGTGTTTTTATTATAGATGGCTATGAAAGTGCCAAGAGACTTTGTGATTTATATTACATGAGCTCTCCAGAACTCATCCTTGAAGAGTTGAATGGTAAGTGAAAATGGGACGAGGCACTCTCTTGAACATAGTGATGGCTTCTTCTAAAGTAGCAGGTGGTGAAATGTTCTCCTTTGACTCTTCAGATAGTTGTCGGGTTTTTTGTGTGTGGTGTGTTTTTTTTTTTTTTCAAATCTGGTAGAAGGCTTTCTCTGTTCTTCCCTTTAATTAGAAAACTTAAATAAGTAGAAAAGTTTTTGACACTGCAGCTGTTGATATAAAGATTTTAGCAGTTTCCTTTCCTTGTCTAAGGTTTCTTCACCCTACACTGCCTATTGCACCTCACCCTCTCTGTATTTCTTGTGACACTTTTGAGATTTACACTAAGCATTCCATTCTCCTACTTTTTCAGCTATCATGTTCTTGTAGTTGTATTTAGATATAATACACTCAAGTCATGCTAAAAATTATTTGAACCTATTGTTCTGAGTTGAAAAAACAGTTTACAACTGTGTTGCTCTGAACTCAGAGATCAGCTATTGTCCTCATCATCCTGCTGAAAACAAAAGCCTTTCTGACACGACTCACCAGAGTACTTTCAAGATACTAAACATCAAGTTCAGACAGAGTTACAAAACCAAGAAATCAAAATTTCTTCTACAAGTAATTGTGAAAGCCAAAGTGTAACCATAATAGCTTGGCCTATGAAGCTGAAGGCAAAGAAAGTGAGGCTTTGACTACACATTCCAGATCTTTTTTTCCTACTGTACAAAACCTGTCATTCTGTATCTAGGTTAAAGGGTTTACCTCTCTCCATCTTTGCAGCATGATACTGAAAACGTTTGTAGGAAACTACCAGTCGTGCTAGCTAATTCTCTGTACTGAGGGGTCAGTTAATGGTGTACGTGCTCCAGAAACCAGAACAGTAGTTCCATTTTTATAAAAGGAGTGACCCCTTTGCTCAATGAATTGTGAAGGTGAGTTAAACTGATCCAGGCCAAATGCACGTTCCTTGCCCGCACCTGAGAGTGGAGACCATTATTCAAACCTTAGGCATGGGATCTGGAGGTGGACACATGGAGGGAAGCAGTTAAATTGAGGACAGGAACCTGATATATTTCAAAATGTGATTATTCCCTCCCCTCCTCCCTCCCCCCCCCCTTTTATTTTTGCTGGGTACATAATTTGTTCTAGATCTTTTGACACCACTGGTCTTCAACATTTATGTTCATAAAACAATGGTCACTAACACAGTCTAGTGAGAAATTAATTTGTTGAACTGAAAGAACCTCAAGACCCAGCAGAATTTTCTGAGTAACCTTTCCTTAATTTTTGAAATAATGAACATGTTTCCATGATATATTTTGTAGAATTTATTCTTTTAAAAAAGTTTGAAAACTACACCTGTTCATAGACAGAATTGTATCTATATTTTTTGTTAATGTTTCTTCTTAGAAATCAGCGAATTTCAAAACGAATCCAAGAATAGGCTGTGCTGTAGTTACTATTTGGTGCATTATAGGATCGTAAGATAATTCAGGTTGGGAGTGACCTCAGGGAAGCTTCTACCCTGACCTCCTGCTTGAAGCAGGGACAGCTACGAGGTTGCTCAGGGCTTCATCCAGTTTGGTCTTACAAATCCTCCAAGGATGATGCCTACATAACATCTCTAGGCAATCTGTTTCAGTGCTTAACGGGCATGGTGAAAAAGTTTTTCTCTATATCTAGTCTGAACCTCTGTTATTTCATCTTACACTCACTGTTTCTTGTTCTTCCACCACCTGAAGAGCCTAATTCTGTCTTCATGATAACCTCCTCATAGGTATTAGAAAGTACCTATTACATGCCCTAATCAGTGGTGCCTCAGTAGGTTTTGGGGTTACTTTCAAAAGCAGCAAACATATTTGAAAATGACTTTTGATTAACATAAAACTTTTCAAAAGATTTCTGTTCAAATTTTCCTTCTCTTGTAAATTCTCTCAACAATACAAATACAGATTGTGAATTACTGCAGCAATAAATAAAATATACCTAGTTTGCTGTCTAATTATTTAGACTCTCTTTTCTCCAGCTAAATCACCAGGACAGCCCATGCAAGTGGTGTATGTGCCATCACATCTCTATCACATGGTTTTTGAACTTTTCAAGGTCTGTGCACTTACCATTACACAATTCTTTTATAAATCTTTGTTTAGTGAGATTGTATTTGTTTGACTTTTTGAACCAATTCTAGATAGCAGTGTGTTTTTGCAAGTGCAAACTTCGTGCTATTTGACTGCAGGAAGATACCTAAATTATACAACTTTGTCAAAAAATCTTAAAACATACAAAGACATTAATTAATAAAGCAAGTGAGAATAAGATACCATTTTTGGCACATCTTCAAATCTGCTATAATGTGTAACATCCTATAGAGCTTTCCTCAAGCAGTTAAATCCTAGACTTTTCTTGATCTTTGTGTCATATTGCATATACTATGCATTATAAAGAATTCTACAAATAAAACTGTACATTGAAATATTCAATGTTTGTTCTAAAAAAACTAAGTATTTGAAGTCTGTGTATTCTATTAAACTATTATAAATATTAATACTGAATAAAAGAGAAATCTTAAAAAAAAACTATTCTAAAACCATGTATATTTTTCCTGATTCTGAAATATGTGATAACTTTCCTAAATTGATGTTTGAAGATAATATACGAAGTGGTAAGAACAGGATTTAAGTTGTACTTGAAAATTGCAGAATGCAATGAGAGCCACCATGGAACACAATGCTGATCGATGCATTTATCCTCCAATTCACGTACACGTCACGTTGGCAGATGAGGATTTAACTGTGAAGGTACCTGCCTTTTTGATTACTTTGAAGGTTATTTTGAGTATTTTTTTTTTTCTCTGTCACAGGCAGCGTATTACTAACTTCGGCAGGTGATCTGGTTCCAACCATAGTTAGTATGTGATGATGTAGTAAGTAACAAGACCATTATGGAATTTCACATACTGCATCAGTAGGGAATTAATTAAGAGGTTGCACAGTCACACTGAAGTCTCTGCAGTACAATCTTAGGCTTTTGTCACACTCATGTCTTGCCTGGCCTATAAGCAACCATGACTAAAAGTGAAGTAGCATCTTTATACAACTGAGGTACCATCATTTTGTACACAACAATGACAGCTATACAAGTGTGAAACAACTGAAAAAAGGGAAATAAACATTGTCTATTCTATGCAAATCAAACCTCCCTGAAGTAACAGTTTGCAGAGTAATTCGTTTTTCTGTACGTCTGTGTTGGATTTCAAAGACCAACTGCAAGCACTGATTTCTTCATAGGTCTAACTAAACTGTAGTTAAAACAACTCTTCTGACTTACTCCTTCAGTAATAGCTTTTAATAGATTGTATTTAACTGGCAGTATTCTTGAGGAATAAAGATAAAAATACACAGAACCTGAAATTTGCTAAAAGGTATAGATACTGACTTCAGACAAAATTGAGTTATGAACAAGATAAAAGCAATGCACGATTTAAGTAGAATTTTCTTGCTTCCAAGAGATTATGAATGCCTATTGTGGTAGTATTCTATTTAAATGGTTTGGATCAGGGATGAAAGGGAAAGATTGATGTCTCTCTGGTCATGGCTGTAGCTGAGAATTTAGAAAAGCCCGTAATTTAACAGGGACAACTTTGTATTATTTTTACCTGAACTTTCTCTGGATCATTGTTTGAGAGAAGCTGTCTTTTATAAAAATGTATTCAGGGACATAATGCTACGTATTCCTTCTTGTTCCAGATGAGTGATCGTGGTGGAGGTGTTCCTATGAGGAAAATTGACAGACTATTTAACTACATGTATTCAACAGCACCACGTCCACGTGTTGAAACGTCACGAGCTACACCTTTGGTACGCAAATCTTTTATACCTTGTGATCTTAGATATATTAAATTGTCACAAAAGAAAACATCTAGTGAAAACTATGTAGTACTGATTTTATAGATACAACCATTTGAATGTTACAGCTTAATGCAAATATTTTTCTGAAAATAACTGGAAAAATGCAGAAAATCCTAAAATACTAAGAATTATTTAAACTTGTTCAAAATGCTGTTTTTCTCTACCAAACACAAAGATCAGCTCCCTCAAGCAGAACACTTAGCTATGCTGCATGTGCTGCAGTAAGGACAGGACTCTGAATTCTGGTTGTAGCCATTGAATGAAAGGAAAAATAATTATAGCAATGATTTTGGACCATAGTTTCATTTTTACTGTATAGTCAGTTGTACTGTGCCCCAGCAAGGATGAAGGTATGCAGATGTGATAGGGCATATGAAGAATCTACTTTGGTCTTGCGTGAACTCAGATGCACAGGAAATAAAGCCTTAGCTCTCAGTAAGAAGCTCTGAACAGCTTTCCTGAATTTATTCCCTTATATTGCATCATTCAAAATGTGGTTTTTAAATGTACATAGTGTTCTGCATCTAGATGCCTGTGCAACTCAGTCAATAACTAGATCTTACAGAGAAGTGTTGTGTTATGTTCATTGACGGATTACCTCTAAAATTTAGTAGGTAAAAAAAATAAATTGTACTTAACACTCAGAGCTGTGTCCTGCTACTGCAGACAGGGCTTGATAGAATTTTAGTATAAGCTACAAATTCATAGACGTTGCTCTTGGACATTTTTGAAGTCGTAGACTTCTTGGACATTTGAGAAGTCGTGGCGGTCTGGCGAGG